GATGTGTTGCAGGCGCCTTTTCCTTGTTGTGTTTACCTAGCACTTATCTCATTATCTGAGCACACACTCACGTTTATCTTTTAATGTTTAAATTGGTTGGAAACAAAAATGTCTTTTCCAAATGGCAGAAATTCCATGAATCTGCTCTTCCCCTGATTCACACCTGCAGGCATCCTCTGGACCGGCCTCTTCCTGCACAGAGCTCACGCTACTCCCCGCCTGTGTCTCCCACCAGGATGGGATTAGGACCCCACACATAGTATTATAAACGTTGGAAACAACATTTCTGTCCACATGTGGCAAATACTCTCCCGTATGACATCCTGGTGACCCACGCCTTCGGGCATCTTCTGCACACTCTCATGCTCCCCTCAGGCTCCTGTGTAGTGGCCAGTGAAAGGACAGGTCTGACTTCCCCTGCTGCATCTCCCAGCAGAGCAGGACCTGGATGGCACTGGGTAGCATATTCGTGCCTATGCCGTTGTTGCAGTGTGTCAAGGGGAAGACATCACAATGTTTTGAGTGGACTGTGACTCTGATAAGAGGGAAAGTGCTTATTTTAAGCCATGAGAAAAGGGACTTCTGAACCCCGGGGATGTTTAGATGTTTCAAACGTTTGATCGCCGATATCCTAAACCCTGGTGAATAATCTATCCTGTTACACAAATTTCTATGGTTTTGCATTGGTTATTATGCTGGCTATACACATATGTTAACTCTCCAGATGGTTTCTATCCTTTTGAATAACATAATCTCATCTTTAGTCTTCATTGCTTTCATAATAAAAATATTCTCTCAGTGAGGCAAAAATATAATCAATAATCAGAACATGCCTCTCTTGACAACTGACCTCCAAAGCATGAAAACTACAGCACAAGTTTCCATTTGAAATGTGAGTGGATATTAGTAAATTCAAACATACTTATTACTATTTGATTTATTTTATTACTTATTTGTACTATTTGTTCTACTTAGTGAATATCCATTTGGAAAGTGCAGGAGAATCACCTGGAGAGCTGCTGGACATCCCGGCCTCCTGAGTTTCTGATTAGGGGCGGGGGAGTTTGAGGGTCTGCATTGCTGGCAAGTGTCCAGCTCACCTGCATGCGTATGTGGAGACCTGCCCTTAGCCTGTTCATGCAGGCTTTGAAGAAGGGTCTGTGTCAAGTTCCTGCCTTGCTCTGAGTAATTCTGTGAGTGGGTGATCTAGAAACACACATTGCCAGCTCTTGGGGTTGCTTTTCCAAATGTGAGGAATTCTTTGGATCTGCTTTTCCCCTGATTCATGCCTGCAGGCGTCCTCTGGCCCACTCTCTTCCTCCACAGAGCTATAGAGTCTCTTTTTGGGGAATTTCCAGTTTACAGGAAGACCGACCACACACACACAGACACAGCAGTAGTGCAATGCAGTGGAGCAGCATTACAGGATCTCAGAGTGGTGTCATTCCTTTAAAAGAATATCCTGAAGGCAAATGAGTCAACATAGCAATTTGGCAAACATTTGTTCATAAGAAATAATCACTATTTGCTATTTTTCATATTTTTCGTGACATAGTTCACATTTTGGTAAGACACATACATGTCCTCAATGTCCTGTTATTTCTGGTAACTGGACACACCCGGGCCACCCACACCTGCTATGACGGAGAACAGACCCACCAGCCAGCGAGGACACGCACGTTGCTTCACTGAGCAGCCCATTGCCACACAGCAGCCAGTGTGTGAGATACTGTGTCTTTATAGATTAGCTTTGACCTAGAACTTCAAACAGGTGGCAGAGTGTGATTTACTTTCTGCTTGACACCTTTAGCTAACACATGTCTGTGAGGGGCCAAGGTGATGCCCGTGTAACCTGGTATGGCCAAGGCTGTTCTGTGAGGACCAAGCCTTTGGTTAGTCTCTCCCCAGCCAGTTTCATGGGGCAGCAACCACCATCCCTGTCAGTCCAGCAAGGACTATGAGGATTCTCGGGACCTCAACATGGAAGGTCAAATTCAGAGAAGAGTGGGACGTCCTCTGTCTCCATCCTTCACTGTCATGATTGGGGACATTTAAGCCCTGCTGATAGTTTTATCAAAATCAAAATGTTTGATTTCATTTATTTTCTAGGGTTGTATTTATAGATCTGGAAGACATGACACCTGTAAACAACTATATTTTCCCTAAAAGTGAGATTTCTGTTTTATTGTCTGAGATGTAAGATCCTGACAGAAAATAACAACCCAAAAAAGAAGTGTTTGATTACCAGTGGGAACTTCCTGTCCAAATTCAGAGAAGTTAAGAAAATTATATGTAGCAGGTATAAAAGCAGATACAGTATCGTGATAGAGACATGTGTCCCTGGAGCAGAAGCCCAGACCAGACCAGCTCAAAATGTTGGTTCACAAAGTTGGCTCAGATTGAACTGTCCTGGGAATATAAAATACTGATGTCAGGACACTGAGAGTGACATTGGGAATTCTGGAATTTGGATAGGGGGCCCTCAGGAACAGACTAAAACTATAGGGATGTCCCCCATGTTTATTGCTGCTTATTTACAATAGGAAAAACATGGAATCAACCCAAATGCTCAAAAGTAGATGACTGGATTAAAAAGATGTACATATACACGGTGGAATATTACTCAGCAATCAAAAAGATAAACACATGCCTTTGCAGCAACATGGATGGAGCTGGAAGGGATCAGGCTTAGTGAAATAAGCCAGTAAGAAAAAGAAAAATACTGGATGGTTTCACTCATAGCAGGAGCATAAAGGACCGGGGTTGGGGGTGTGGAAATAATAATAATGAACAAATATATACCAGAGATGTTTTACAGAGGTGGAGTGGGGAATGAAAATGGGGTGGGGGAAGTGCACTGAATTATGGTGATGGCACATGGGTGAATTGGTGATGTGAAGGCTGTGGGGATTACAACTGAGATGGAAAAAGGCATAAAATGATGTAAAAATAAACTATTATAATAAAAAAATGAAGATCTCACTGATCACATTATTAAGGATGAACCTGGACGATATTATGCTAAATCAGATTTAAAAAAAATAGGGGTGTCAGAGCAAGGATTACTTGGGAGCCAATCCTGTAAGAACTCTCAAGAACCTGAGGAGATTAAAAGCCCAAACAGAATGACCGTGAGCTGACCACTTCTGAAGGCAGCTGGGTTCCCAGGGACCCAGACACTACATGCCCCCACAAAATGGAAAAAGTTGGGGTGCTCATCCACCAACTCTTGTCTACTGGTTGAGTACTGCTCTTCAAGGCTTCAGCTCCTCTTTCTGTCCATCCAGATCTTGCTCCTGTGTAAGATCCAGATGCACTATGTAAGAGCCATCGTCCCTCTGACAACAGAATGATGGTACCAAAGGGGAGACGGGGGAGAGCTTGGTGGTGGATAGTGACTGGACATTTGGTGGTGGGTGTGGTGTGAACTATACAGCTAGAGACGTGAGAAGCTGTCCACCTGCAACCTATAGTGTTATAAAGTTATGTTGACTTCAATAAGAGAATAAAAAGGAGCCATCTTTCTAGATAGAACAAGGAGAGCTGAGGAATGACCTCACCTGGTATAGCTAATCATCCTGCAGGAGGAACAGAAGAAATTGGCAACTAAGGATGGCAAGTTAAGAAGGAAATACTGAGTCAAGATGCTCTTATATTTGTATGCTGAGAAAATTGTTTTATTTGAGATTAAGAATACTAGCACATGAAAAATTGTGTCAGGGAACAAATAGATCAGCTGGGATGACATGTTGGTTGACAGATTTCAGAGAATATTCAAATTTGTTTGTCATTGGGGAGGAAGAGAAATATGTAAAGGAAGCAATATATTCAAATGCCAAACCCAGTTTAAAATCACTGTTGTGCTACATCAAGATAATTGTCACAAAAACAGGGGTGCAGGCCAGTGTGCTCAGCAGCAAGAAGCACTGGGGCAGGCTGGGCGGCAGCAGCTGGACACACAGCAGCTGGGTCTGCGGCAGGTGGTCTTGCAGCAGGTGGTCTGGTAGCAGCTGGAGATGCAGCAGCTGGGTCTGCAGCAGCTGGAGCCACAGCTGGGCCTGAAGCAGCTGGGGAGGCAGCAGCTGGGGCGGCAGCAGCTGGAAATGCAGCAGCTGGGCCTGCAGCAGCTGGAGCCACAGCTGGGACGGAAGCAGCTGGAGCTACAGCTGGGCCTGCAGCAGCTGGAACCACAGCTGGGGCGGCAGCAGCT